GACTTGGGAGTCTTTGTACATAAATAGTATGTAATTTATGGTCTTAGCGAAAATTTGTAACTCGGGTTGTGGATGCATGTTCGTTTGCTGGCCAAGCCAGTTGTTTTGTGGTGTGCAGATGTTTCGTTACCATTCTAGGCGACATTATCAGTGCGACCTCTAATCAAAGCCTTGATGTTCTGTTCCATTCTGAATTTATATGATCCTCCTGGTGTGAGGGTCTTGTCACTTCCAGTTCTGTTTTTTAAGCTGCAGTCTGTATAAGGGGTCTATTTCTACGTGTTTGTATATGGAGTCCCATGTTGAGAACCAGGCTTCCAGAAATTCCCTTGCATGTCTGTTGTTTGCTTATCCCAGTGTAGTCACTTTGTCCCAGTCAAACTGATTGGCCTCATTGTCTGTGTGTATCGAGACAGTGAATATTGGTCGTATCTTTTATTGCCAGCTGGTGTCTGTGAATCCTGGTCGTCAGTAAACGGGACTCACGTGATATATAGAATCCCACACAGTGAGTGCAATAAACATTACATTTGGACAAACGCTGAGGAAACTGACAACCAGGATACATGAACACCGGCTGGCAGTAAAAAGACATGACCAATATTTACTTGTCTCGATACACGCAGATGATGAGGGCGATCAGTTTGACTGGGACAAGCGAACAACAGACATGCAAGCAAATTTCTGGAAGTCTGGTTCTCAACATGGGACTCCATTAACAAACACATAGAAATAGATCCCTTATACAGACTGCTGCTAAAAAAAATAGAACCATTGGTGAAAGACCCATCACACCAGAAGATCATATAAATTCAGAATGGAGCAGAACACAACCACTTCGATTAGAGGTCACAATGATGATGCTGCCTAGAATGGTAATGAAACGTCTGCACATCACAGAACAACCAGCTCGGTGAGCTAAAGAACAACGGTACATAATTTATGCCAGCATACAGTTTCAGATAATAAAGAAGCTATTTGGAATGTTGGCTTTTATTTCAAAGGTAATAGAATATTAAGTTAATGATAAAAGCACTAGTCAGAAATGTCAGCTGAGTTGTTCTAGAAACTCTCCCAAATTCTTTTTCATTGCCAGTTTACTGCCACCAAGATCAAGATGAATATTGCCCCCAATAAGCTACATCGTAGAATCCTTACAGTGTGGAAACAGGCCCTTCAGCCCAACAAGTCCACACCGAACCTCGGAGCATCCCACCCAGACCCACTCCCCCATAACCCACCTAATCTACACCTCCCTGAACACCACGGGCAATTTAGCATGGCCAGTCCACCTAACCTGCACATCTTTGGACTGTGGGAGGAAACCGGAGCACCCGGAGGAAACCCACGCAGACATGGGGAGAATGTGCAAACTCCACACATACAGTCGCCAGAGGGTGGAATCGAACCCGGATCCCTGGCGCTGTGAGGCAGCAGTGCTAACCACTGTACCACCGTGCTGCCCTCTGGCTTGAAGTCTAAATGGACAGTTATGAGCTTTGCTCGCAACTGAATATATAGACAATCCTGACAGCTCCCAAACAAAATTTGAGTTGATACCTCAGATGTTTTTATCAACAACTTCACCATTCTGGCTGATTTTTGGAGCTAGGATATTGAACAAAGGCTATGTGAAACACGTGATATCAGACTAAGATGGTAGTCTGCAATGAATAAAATTACTGCATTAAATCAAAGGTATATAGGGTTATGACCTAGATGAAATAAGTGACAGAAATTATTCTTTTTATGAACCAAGTATGGTGAGTAGTAAAAGAAAAACACATGAATGCCTGCATTTGCAATTTTGCAATGCTATCATTGTTAGATCCATTCTCTGGTGGCCTCATCAATGGAGTATCCAGCCTTGTCTGGCCTTGGCTTGGGGTGTGGAAAGGTTGAAACATTTTATCAGTGGTCACCTCACTTGTTCACTTCAAAGACAAAGACTATGCAAATATTCCAGACTCAACCACACGCTTGTACCATTTCATGGAAATTGTATGAGCTGCAAGCCTAATCTGATGAGATTGAATGGGCACATGGATCAAGGCCAGTGAGAATATATCGGGGGTAATGTTAAGAATAACTTTAATCCTAACTCCACACTTTGCCCAGCAGTGATTGTTGTTTCATTATTATGATGTAGGGTGGGAGATTTGCCTTGTGATCTGAGGTCATAAGTGCCTGAACAACTTTAACAGAGGAATGAGTCATCCTTTATTTCTGAGCTCCATGTAGAGCCATGAAGAATATATAATCACAAAATTCAGAGGAAATCTATTGCACCTAAAGTGGATCATTTGCTTTTACAAAGGACTGCTAGAGTTGCTAGTGTTTGACAATGTAATGTGTACAGGTTTGTCAAGTTTGGATCTAATAAATAGCACTTAATAGCCTTAACTAATGACAAATTATTTAGCAAGTATTTTAAAATGTGCTTTTTATTCTGTTCCGTGGTTATTAGTCTGCTCTTTCAAAAGAAAGTTCATATAGTTAAATTAATTGATTTTTCTTTGCTTTTTAAGACGTGCAAGAGGAATCATCTCCAGCCCAGCTGCTAGTCGTTTCAGTAGGGGAGCTAAGTACTACACTAAAAGTGCTGCTGTCTGGAATATCAGAAATCAGGGGGTAAGCTATCAGGCAATTTACAGAATCGCTTCTTTTAGATATGGATTTAAAATTGATTTTTTTGTTTGCTTTAGTATTGGCTTAATGTGTAAAATTTTGTTGATACTTCTGTATTGCAAATGAAGCAGAACAAGGGTTATACTTGCCATGATATACTACTATTCATCCTGTTGTAAATTAGTGGCCAGGTCGTGTAAAATATAGGCCACATGCTATTTAAATCACCTGCAAGGGGCAAGGGCCAAGGGCCAGGATGGAATGGGGAAATTGGAGGTGGAGTTGGACCTCAATTTGTACTTGATAGTTATTAAACATGCATATTTCCTCCCTAATAGAGTGGTCAAATTTGGTAGATAAGAGTTAAGTCTGGGGAAATATCAGATTATTCACTTTGAAGCTGAAAAAGGCAAATGTATTTTCTTATTGGTGAGAAAATTATAACAGAACAAAGGAATATTGATTTCTATTTACATAAAAAAGTCACGCTTGAGTGTGACAAGGCCAGTGGAGTGTTGGCCTTCTTCTCAAGGAGGCTGGAATACAAAAGTGAGTGTATGGTGCTTCTGTCATTGCAAAGCTTTGAAGTATTGTTTTCTGTTCTGGGCATCAAGCTACACATTGGCCTTTGGGTTATATTGCAGGTTTTAATTGGTTAAAGTGTGATAGATTGGTAATTTCTGACGTCTTTCCATGCATTTAAAAGGTTGAGTGGTCTAAATAAATTGTTTAAAATGATAAATAGATTAGATAGGGTAGATAGTATTTCCTCTGGTGGATAATCCAGTAAAAGAGGGCAAAGTAGAATTAGAGCTGACTGTATAGGAAAGAAATCAGGAAATATAGAGAGAGAATCAAGGAAAATGAAACAAAGAAAAGCAAAGGGAAATGATTACTGATGAGGCATGATTTAGTTAAATGACAGAAGTGGTCCAATGAACTGGATGGCCTTCTAGTAAAACGTTTCCAAAATCAGAATGACAATGGATGAATCTCACTTCTGGATATTGAAAGCTGTATAAAATTTTTAATCTTGGTCTACTTTTGCAGTCAAAATACTGATCTTGGCATCCACAAGCACTTTGAAATATTTGTGACTGAGTTAATTAATAACTACAAAAGCAATGAGGTCCTGTTGAATTACATTTTATTGGTCGATAGAACACTATTAGTCATATATTTACATCTTAGGCTCATAAGGTTATTGATCTGTTAGGTTGGAATATCTTGTTGAACAGCAAGTATTTGTTTCAAAGTGTGTGCTTATTGAAGTGTTCCTTTTTATATGTGACAGGGTCAGCCAGCTTATGCTGCTTCAGCAGAAGAAATTGCTCAAGAATTGAAGGCTTCTGGAGATTCTGGAGACCATGGTTCAGAGGAACATGAGAAATCTCAGTCAGGTCTTGCAGAAGACTCTTCAGATAGCTCTCCTGCTGAAAATGGAGTTTCAGATGAAAGTAAACCTGTTTCCGAGCTAAATGGAAACAAAGGAGACATCAGGGCTTCCAACCAAACTGAAAGTGCCTTGAATAATGACTCTAAAATGTGCAATACAACTCCTCACTTAAATGCACTAACTACAGATGGCAGTTGCAATAGAGGTGAAAATCTTGATACTGCTGTCTTGAAAAAGGAAGAGTAATCTGTATTTTTTTGTTTTTTGTTCAGGGGGTGAAGGATGTTTGGAAGGTTACAGAATAGGAATATTTGAAAAAGAAGGCCTACAGTTGCATACAATATTTTCTTCTCCATAGAGAAATAAGGACATTGGAAATTTGGATCCCTCTTTGATGTCAGCTGTTTAACAAGCAATCTTTTCTAGCCAGTTGCAGTTGAATGCTACCAAATGAAATGAAGAGCATTTGACTCCCACATTTGAAATGGTATAACAAGACATTCAAACTGGTTATGACAATTTACATTTTCTTTTTCAGAACGTAAAGCAAATATGGCTTTAATTTGGCAGTCTTCAATACATAGGTTAAAATACAGTACAGTACTTGGCACCATAACTTTGCCATCTTAATTGATTTTATGTGTTGTGTCAGTTGCTTATTTTAAGATTTAAATTTCACAAGCCTGCAAAAGGCATAGAACCACAAAAAAAAAATTCTACTACTTCAATGTCATTAGTTTTGGTGTGGTTATGTCAGCAAAAGATTTATAAAATAAAATAATTCAATGTTTAAGTTTCTAGAAAGTAATACGCAGCTTCAGTTTTGGCAATCTTTAAGAAAAAGCAAATATGTGTAAGAAGCAAATTACATGTCGAGAAAACAACTGAAAACATTCATTGAAGATGCAGATGACCTTTAAAAATAGTTAAACATCACCATATAATTGATATGTTTTGTGAATATGACAGCTCTTACCATGCATCCGTGAATCAATGAAATCAGTGGTTTTTGAATCAGATGTAGACATTAGTACTACTTCGGCTAAACTTCTGCATGGTTCATAATTTTTGAAGTGTGTAGTTAATATTATGCATGTTATCGTCCTCTTTCTTCCATCCTTACAAGTACTGTGCCCATTTGCAAATTTTAAAAGTTAGTCATAGTCCTATAAAAAGATGTTAAAATATGTTTAGTCATTAACTGATCTTGCTCTAACCTTAAATTTTGTGGTTATTGACCTCTGTTGCATTTATTCTAAAAAACCTACAAAAGTTATCTAGCCACTCTGAATGATTAATGTTAACCCTGGTGTACTCATCGCTACTGTATTCATATTGTTCTCTGTTGCTGTTTTATGCATTTGTATTAGCAAAGTGATCTTTCTACAAAATTCTTGAAAAGCTTCAATCTTCAAAAAAATTACCCCTACGTAGCAGACAATTCAGCAAATTGCTCGTTTTAAAATTTTCCCATCAAGAGTTTAGTATAAGCAAGTAAACTTGTATCATTCTGCTGTTTTCGTTAGTGTTTCAAACCTGATGTACTTTGAATCAGAATCCTTACTTTATTATTATTTCATATAATTTTCCTGATGCTCTTCATCACACATTAGTGAACAGAAATAAAATGTAACACCCCCCCCCCCCCCACCCCCACCAAATCCCTGCCCGCAACAGCTACATAGTACCTTTTCTGTAAGTTGAAAGGAGTTCTACCTACATATGGATTGTGCAAGAATGAACGACTGTTGGGTTTGCTCGGTTGCTGATGGATTATGGTGTGGTGTAATACTGGAAGGCTATTGAATGCAACTTACAATGCTTAATAAAAATCTTTATTCTTTTAGTATAAACCATTGGTTGTTCCTTTTTCCATTGATCGACTGGATTATCTTGTACTTTTCTGGGAAGTTGGGAGTAAGTTGTGCTTTATTCAAGCTTTCTGTTGAAAATTGTGCAAAAATTGAGTTTTTGGACTTTCACAACTTGCTTGCAGTTTTATACCTTAAGGAAAAAATGTAATTAATACTGTGCTAATCCCCATTTTAATTTTCTTTGTCGTTTCAAATTATCTCAGAAGCATTTAAAAATGTAGTATGTTAACATAGTAAACTGGAATAATTTTCAGAGTATAGGCCTCGTGCTAAAATTGTTTATATTGTGTCAGTCCTTGGAACATACCTTTACTTGATACTTTCTTGTTGGAATGTGTCACTCACCCCATATTAACTAGTAAGTTACCAATAGGATATTAATGAAGAAATGTGCTGAAGATTTAATGTTTTAAAATAATTCATAAGCTGAGAGTATTTGTCCTGGAGTCAAGTTTTTATTTGCTAAAATCAGGGAAACATGTTTTCATGAAATGACATGTCCAGTTTAATGTGCATGAATTTGAACTACTTCAATCTATTGTGATGCAGCTAATTTCTTTGAATCTGATATATTTTCAGTCAACATTCAAGCATCCTTCACTTATTAGGAATTTGACTAACATTTGGCATATTATGAATAAAATTTATATGCTAAGCTACGTTTTGCAACAGATTGTACTAGGCAGTGCCACGTGTGACTTGCTTGCATCTAATACTGAAATGCTAAACCAACATCATAGAAAAAAGTTCACTTTCACCCAACTGTGAAACATTTCCTGTTCCTAATATTGAAATTTCAGACTTCTGGCAATAATCCCAGCATTTGCTAAATTTTGTAAAGCAGAATAAATCCACTGCTTTTGAACTATTTACTTTAGTACTGTATTGTGAGGGTGCAAAGTAAGCAGTGTACTTGCTTGAGCTGTGTGTGTTAAAACTTGCCTCTGCTGTAGATGGTTCAGAACCATAGGAGCACTGTCAGACATTTATTAAGTGGTCTTTTCATGAAAAGTGTTTTAAGTGATCTCAGCAAATGGGAGCTCATCACTAAGATGTTCATGCAAAGCTTATAAATTAATTTAAAAGATGAAGAAGGGTCCCGACCCAAAAGGTCAACTTTCCTGCTCTTCTGATACTGCCTGGTCTGCTGTGATCCTCCAGCTCCACACTGTGTTATCACACCTTTAGTGTATTTGCTTCATCAATAGGCTATTGGAAACTCATCAAATAATGTGAGACAATTAACTAGGGTAGTGTCACACAAAAGAACCTTCCAAGAAGTAGCAAAATGTGAAAAATATTAGTGCAATTGTATGCTACAAGTTGAATGGGTGATGAAGGTTTAAATTCAGTGTTGTTCTTTGATTAACTCTCACCAATCTTGCTCATCATTGAAAGGGCCTCTTAGAAGATGATAATTATCCATATGAAAAAGAACATACTGGAAACTGGCTCAAGGCATTTGATGCAAGTATCAGGCTGTTTGCTTGTTGGACTTCGGCAGCCACATTAAAGGCCTTTCAGGTTTTCACACTGGTTCAACAACCAGCTCACAACTTAATGTGTGTTTTGTGTATACCAGAGTTCAGTAATTGATCGGTATGATAATCAAGAAATTCGTGGATTTCAAACTCCGGTTCGCTCTTATTGTTTCATTTTTAAATCAGAAGCGTTTACTCTCTTTCCCTATATGCCACAGTGTCAACTAGAAAATTGATTTGGATTCTGTTCTGGCTTCTCTGAAAACTACTATTTCACCAAACAGTCAAAATCAAAGCAATTATTTGTACTGGATGGTAACTTGGTGGGATTGACCTTCTTTAATAACTGTCTTCAACTAACTGAATGGAACTTGGTCCTGTTTAGTCCCACATTTGTTTATTGAAATAAACCAGGAGCATCTCCGTCATCACTTCTTACCGCATACCATCAACACTGTAGTTCCTCACCAATTTATTCTTGGTCCCTTCCTGCGTACTGCATCTCTAAACATGTCCATAAGCATGCGTTCAGCTTTCACAGTTATAGTGGTAGAATCTAACTCCCCCTTTCTCTCAACTTCTTTGATGCCTCCATGCATTTAAATGCTTGTCCAAAAACCTTTAGAACCCCTACAAAAGCAGAAATTGCTGGTAAAACTTAGCAGGTCTGGCAACTTCTGTGGGGAGAAACCAGTTCAAGTCTGGTGACTCATTAGAATTCTGAAAAAGTTACCAGACTCAAAATGTCAACTGTGCTATCTCTCCACAGATGCTACCAGACCTGCTGAGTTCCACCAGCAATTTCTGTTTATGTTTCAGATATCCAGCATCTGCAATTCTTTGTTTTATTTAGATCCTCAACCTTCATACTACTGAGACCCCATTTCAAGGCTGGATAATTGTCATGAGAGGATTATGAGGAGCTTTTGTTTTTTAAAAGTTCATAAATCCTAGCACTTTTCCTACAAAAACCAAGCATCAGGTTGAGTTATTCAGGACACACCGTGAGTTTGGGGAGAAAAAGGTGAGGATTTAAATCTGTTTCGTTGCTACTAGATCATTTGAAGCTCTACAGCACCCATGACTACATGTTCTTTTCTACTTTTAGCACTAAGTTGTTGCTGACCTGTATTACCTGACGTAAGGTTCTCCAGTGCTTCAAGTTTAAAATTCTTATCATGTGCTTAAACCTTTCTGTGGACCACCCCATTTTTTCTTCGTCACCTCCTTCAGCTCTCTAAATCCATTTACGGCACCTTCACCCATCCCAATGGACTTACTGTTTTTCTGATGACTAGTTCATTTATTGTTCCTTTTGCCACATAGTTGGCAGGTATGCTTTCAACCATCCATTTTAATTGTTTCTGCCTTTAGTCCAACACCATTTTCCTTTCTATCGTGTGAAATACCTTTGGGCAATTTTTCCAGAAATGTAATAGTGTTGGCACATTCTGGTATAGAAATATGTAATTTGCCTTACTTAGCATAGTTGGATATATTGGATTTTAAGAAACTACTTCAACGAAAGACTGATTGAAACAGAATGTAGAAGTTAATGTTAACAGCAGGATTGTAACTTAAGTGGAGCAGCAGTGAAATTAAGGTTTTGCCCATTGCCAGTGATAATATTTTAAGAATCCTGTAATATTAGCCTAAATTAGTCTGCAATTTTCAAATTAATAGTGTGCTGATCCAAAGTTTTCCAACAGTGTAACTTTTAAACAGTCATTCCAAAGCAACCATTGTGCTAAAAATACACTGCAATTCAACTGAATACCCAGCATCTTCCTTGCACAACAAGCTCCAACTGTTTAGTTTTAATTATAGACCAGTCTTCAGCAGCATTAAAAATATTGATTGAACAGGAATCTCAATTGTTTCTCAAAATAATTCTTAACATGATAATTTATTTTCTTGATGGGAATACAGTTTGTGAATATATAAACCTGTAATCACTTGCCCTACCATCTCTATCTGCTCTTTGAAGTCTTCCTTTATTCATGTATATCACATACTGTGGGTGTTATTTTGGAAACTAACATACATCAATTGTTTCCTTCAACCTACTCTGCAGTCATAGTGATAATAAAGCAATGAAAGGCATTTGCCCATCCAACATCCTGGACTCTCCTTACACTTCCCATTCCCATCCTCACTAACTGATCAAATAAAATTGGCTTCTTCAACTGGGTATTAGCATTTGTAAAGGAGGAATGATAATTTCCGTAAATTACTCTGAAGCAGAGTTGTGAACCAAATGTTGCTCCATTTGGCAGAGGCCTGGCTTAGTTTGGCAGCACCATTGGTTCTCCTTCATTAAATACACATCCACTGTTATTGTATTTTATGTAGTCTGTTGTATTCTGCAAAATATTTTAAAATTTGGGTTTCTTCAAACACAAAAGAATGCCAGTTCCAAATTAAAATATGAATCATTAGCTTTTATTTCTCTATGATTTTTAAGTGCCCCATTCTATTTAAATTTTCTTTCATTGATTAATTTCTTTGATTATGATGTATTTAATACTGTTCACACATTACATTGTCGTGCTCAGTAAATACTCATGTTTAAAAGTAAGATAACCTGTGAACATAGAACATTACAGCGCAGTACAGGCCCTTCGGCCCTCAATGTTGCGCCAACCTGTGAAACCAATCTGAAGCCCATCTAACCTACACTATTCCATTATCATCCATATGTTTATCCATTGACCATTTAAATGCCTTTAAAGTTGGCGAGTCTACTACTGTTGCAGCCAGGGCATTCCACGCCCTTACTACTCTGAGTAAAGAACCTACCTCTGACATCTGTCCTATATCTATCACCCCTCAATTTAAAGCTATGACCCCTCGTGCTAGCCATCACCATCCAAGGAAAAAGGCTCTCGCTGTCTACCCTATCTAATTCTCTAATCATCTTGCATGTCTCTATTAAGTCACCTCTTAACCTTCTTCTCTCTAACGAAAACAGCCTCAAGTCCCTCAGCCTTTCTTCATAAGACCTTCCCTCCATACCAGGCAACATCCTGATAAATCTCTGCACCCTTTCCAATGCTTCCACTATAATGCGGCGAAGTTTTTAATTCTCTTATGGCAAGACTTGAAACATCAGTGCATTACTTGGAGAATGGGAGATATGGCTAAATTCCACTAGGATACTAAATGCAAAGCATGTATCTTCAGAGTGGAGGAGTTAATAGAAAGGTCGGATGGTATTAGGGGAGCAGAAGTGTAATGCAATGATACTTCAGCAGAATTGTAGGGAAGTTTCTTTTTATGGGAGAGATGGCATCATTTTTGATTCTTAACTACTTTTGGGCATATGCTTGCTCACTGTTGCCTGACTTTAGGCAGTGCACCAGTAGTAGAGTTGAAGTAAGGATGAGGTCTCACTTATTCACCTTTATTGCGGGTTACAGAATACAATGTCTGCTGCCTTCTGCCAGTTTGAAGAGTCACTGAAAAAGAAATTAATGTAAGTAATGTATGGCAGACAAATAACATTAAAACTCCTAAGCTACAGATCATGTTCCATAGCATTGTAACTTGCTTCTTCTGTGGACACTGAGAAATTATAGAAACAGTGTTTTGGTTATTAAAATCCCAAATATTTGGGCAGCCATATGCTAAAAGTACAAAGCACATTTGCTGAGAATGTCTAAAGTCACATTTCTGTGACAACTTTCCAGGACCTAATGTCCCTCCAAATAATAATTTTCTGATTGGAAGAATCCTAATTTAAAACACTTAGTTTGAATGTGGTGAAGTAGATAGAATGTCTGATCTTTGTTTGTCACATTGTATTAATGGAGCAGGTATATTTTGCTTATGATCTTCCTCATTATGCCGTAATAGATTATTAGGAAATACAGGTCTGCAATGCGAAGTAGGTATAATCTATTAAATAAATATGTTTTATGGTGTGGTAGGAGGGCAGTTACTTAAGGATCTAAACCATTTTTTTTCCAGACTTTAATGAATTATGTTGAGTAGCCTGCAGTTTAGTAGCTATTGGAACAAATTTAGCAGATAATCTGATTTTTCCCACCCAGAACATTCTATTGTTTTATTCATGTACCATTAATTGGAGAAAATTCAATTAAGATGGATGTACTGAGTTAGTTTCCAAAGATAAAAAGTGAATGCATTGTTTAATATTTAATGTAGTTTACATAAGACATTCTTTGGAGCAAAATTTGTTTAATAAGCTTAAAATTTATCAAGTTAGGACTTTCAGTTCAGATCCAGGTACTATCACAAGCAACAAAAATAGCTGAAAGATAATTAATTGCTAATTTCTTTAGAAAGAAAGATGTGTGGCCTGTTTTTTTTTAACAAAACATTGAACATATTCTTGCTTATATGCGTAAAACAGATCTTCCACCAACAGTTTCTAGTATTAAGTAGCAGAGAGAATGGAAAAGGAAATTGGTTGGACTTTGTACAATTTGTTTTTCAGATATGCAATGAGAGTTCACTTTTTTTCTTTCCACAGCAAGTGATGACCACAGAATTGCTTTGAAAACAGCAGTCATCAATGTAACACTGGGATCTATAATTAAGTTGCAAGTTTTGTAGTATTGTCTTCAATTTGAGACTGGTTACTTTTTCCTGTGTTTTGCAAATGAGAGATTATTTCATTGTTGAACTTATAACCATATTTTGACAGTTTTTTAAAAAAGATTCATGAGCATAGTAGGTGCAACTGTTGACAATGGAGTGGCCTTTACTGGATGCTATTTAAAAGCATTCTGAAGAAGAGCTTTAAGGTCCATAAGATGTTATGAATCCGTTGGTTCTTCAACTAGGATCTGTGGAACAATTTTCCTCCTAGACTGCAGCTGCAAAACAGTCAGGAATGTGTTGAGCACAAACGAAGTTCCTTTAGGTGTATGCACCAATCTTAAGGGACCATGCTGTGTGACATGCCATCCATGCACAACCAACAGAAGTTGTATGGGATAAGTTCACTGGCACTTTCCCAGAAACCTGTTGACCTGCAGAGACTTTCTGGAGGTCTGCAGAATAATTAAGCAGTGGTTGGAGATGGGAGCATGCATGAATTGAGTGCTAAGACAGGCACAAAGATTGCCAGGTTAACCAACTAGTAATGAGTACCAGGTGAGTTCAGTCTTTGATTTGTAAGTGCTATATGTGCAGCAAGAATCACGTAAAGGAATGTATTTGAGCTTTTGAAGGTTGAACTAATAGATGAAGGGGAACAAGTAGATGAGTACTTCAATTTGATATTGATAAGGCTCCATACAAAAGGGCTGATGGAGTTTAGATCATTTATAGAGGATTGGTTAATGGACTTGAGAGTTGCATTTGAGGCAGTACAGCCAATTCACTACAACTGTTCTTTGGCAGACAAAGCCATCTTCTGTGATGTGAGGCTGAATATGTTAGGTCTATACTCTCTGCAGTTTGTAAGAATGAGCAGTGATCTCATAGAGACATAAGGAACTAGAGAGGGTAGGCACAGAGATTGTTTTCGCTGGCTGGGGAATCCAGCACAAGGGGCACAACCTGAGTGTAAGGGAAAAGTCATTTAGAACTGAGATGTAAAAAAACTCATGTTCATGAATTTTTGGAGTTCTCCACCACAGGGAGTTATAGATGCTGCAGCACTTAATATATTTAAGACTCAGATGTTTCTCTCAGGAAAGAGAGGGATAGGGACCAGATGGGAAATGAAGACAGAAGGTCATAACTGCAGATACAAATATATTTTCGTAAAAGCATTAGTATAAGAGCATTTGCATATGTGACTTTAATATGAACATTATATAGCATTATAATTTAGATATGGAAGTCTATGATTATAAATTTAATTGAAAAAGGTTCCTTAAAAGACATTATTATAAATGCTCTTAAATTTTGTTAACCTACAAAGTCAGGTGTCTTTCCTTTTCTTGGATTGAGAAGCTGAATTAAAAGACCGTAGCTTATGATATAAATTTATATCAGTCTGAATGGTATATTCAAGAAGATCAGATAAAAGAGAAGTATTGATTTGCCAACCTGAAATTTGATACAGACAGTAGAAGGGAAAGCGAAGTTCACTTTGAATTTAAATTTTGTGTGGTGCCACCTGCTGGTTTTTCTGGGAAACACCATGTTGTACACTCAGCCTCACTAGTTTTATTTACAAATCCTTTTCAAACCACCATGAATGTTAATATGTAATATCAGTAAATCTGTATAATTTTGAACAGTAAAGCAACATGTTTATTCATCTTCTAATTGTTTAGGTATTGCCTGAGTTCATTGTATTTTTAGATGCTGTCGGTCTTCAGCTATCACAAGTCATAAATTAATTAAAACTAGAAAAAGAAATTTAGTCCTACAGTGTCTCCTTGGACTAATCTACTGTATGATTCAGGATCATACCATACAGATATGGAACCTTCCAAATCTCATCCTAGTTTAATCAGGTGTACAACTAGTATGTGTGACAATTGATCTGTGTCCCCAAAGTGAAACTTAATTGGTATTTCTGTTCCTGGTCAATGTCTAGTGGCCCCCTATTGGAAAGTGCTCATAGTTGGACAAAATATGAACTGGTTTGGGATTGTCAATAATTTTGTGATTAAGTAACCTGTTAACACTCACTGCAGACCACGGGTCCTCAACGTGCAGGTTGGGCCCTAAGTAGGGTCGCAAGCTGAAGGTTTGAAGTTGCTGGAAAAGCTCAGCAAGTCTGGCAGCATGTGTGAAGAAAAACATCAGAGTTAACATTACAGGTCGAGTGACCCTTCCTCAGAATGTCACCGGACCCATAACATTAACTCTGATTTTTTTTCTTCAAAGATGCTGCCAGACTTGCTGAGCTTTTCCAGCAACTTCTGTTTTTGTTGCTGTTTTGGTTTTGTTCCTGTTTTACGGCATCCACTGTTCTTTTGGTATTTTTTCAAGTTGCCATTGTGGAGTTCTGATTGAATTATGAAAGTTATGTTCCCTATCTCTGAAAGACAGGCCTCCATTTACCTGCTGCCTGTCTCACTGACTTTTACAGGTCCCTCACATGCCCATGCTCCCTCAGGTCTCACTAAGGGGTTGCAACAATTTTCAGGCCTCATGAGATCACAGCAGCAAAAATGTTGACAACCATAGCTCTGGACAGATAAATGGGGGGGAAGAAAAGCCACAGGAGTCTTGGAATGTGTCATCATCTTCCAATTTCATGCCCACTTTTCCTGTCTATCTTTGTTTGCACCCTTGCAAGAATATCTCCACCACCACCACCCCCCCAACCACCCCCACCACAACACTGAAGTGGTTTTGACATGATCGACTGCCATTTTTTCCTAATACTACTTCCCCGTTTTCTGCCTGAGTGGTGCTATCTCTTATTCATTCCTATCTCATCATAGCCATAGAACCTCCTGCAATGGCTTTGATCCCATCTTCTATCGCTGTAACTCTGGAATCTTTCTGGGTTCCCTCCTATTTCTCATTCACATTATGTCCTGGTTACAGCATCTGAAGACACATCAGGTTTTACACAAATCTGCAACTATACCTCACCATCCAACTAGTCTATCTTTCCATTCACTTGTCTGTGCTGGATGAGCTCAAGTTTCCTCCATTCCAACATTTCAAAAACTGAAGTCATGTCTTTGACTCCCACCACAAATTCTGTTCTCTCACCATTAATTCTATTGCCATCTGTGCTCACTGCCTCAAGCATCTTATTTTACCTTGCATTGAGCTTCACACCAAGATCATCAGAAACCACTTCTAGAAGTTTGTTGTTTTCACCCACAGCATATTGGTGGAATTTGAATTCAATAAATACCTGAAATTAAGAATCTAATGATGATCGTGAATCTATTGTTGATTATCTGGTTCACTAATGTCCTTTAGGGAAGGAAACTGCCATCCTTACCTGGTCTGGCCTCTGGGCAATTGAGGATGGGCAATAAATGTTGCATTGCCAGTGACACCCTCATCCTGTGAATGAATTAAGAAAACAAAATCCTTTAGTTTCTATTGATCCAAAATTCCACTACCTATATAGTTCATTCAAACATCACACCTGTGCTGACTGATCTATGTTGGTTCACTTTCCACAAACACTTCAAAATTAAAATTCCTTTCCGCATGTGTCTCCATTTTAGCCCCTTACGCATGCCGACTTTCATTGCTGCACCATTGGTGGCTGTGAGCCCTCGAATTTCAGAGATTAATAGAATCCCTACAGTGCGAAGCAGGCCATTCAGCCCATCAAGTCCACACCAATCTCTGAAGAGCATCCCACCCAGGCCCACTCCCACAACTTTGCATTTACCCGAGCTAACCCACATGGCCAGTACATCCCTCGACACAATGGACAATTTAGCATGGCCAATCCACCCAACCTGCACATCTCTGGACTGGGAGGAAACCAGAGCACCCAGCAGAAACTGACATAGACACGGGAAGAATGTGCAAACTTCAAACAGACAGTTACCCAAAGGTGGAATTGGACCCGGGTCCTTGGCACTGTCAGGCAGCAGTGCTAACCACTGAGCCACCAAGCTGCCCTCACTATTCTCACGAAACTTTCCTCACTAAACCACCTCCTCCAGGATGCTCCTTAAAACTCACCTCAATCAAGGTTTAGTCACTGCTCTTACTTTTCTTAATTTGGCTCAGGATTTATTTTATCTGTTTGTTTCTTGGTAGGTACCTTGGGACATTTACCTATGTCAAAGAAACCATATGAATGCAATTTATTGTTGTTGGAGTATTGATGACTGTTCACTCAATGGACTGAACAGCCTCTTTCTGCACTGTAGGGATTCTAAGATTCAAGGACAATATTTCAGCAACAATTATTGGATTCCAGACAAGAAAGGAAATTTGGAAGAAAACGTCCAGTAACCATGGTAATTTTACCTTTTAAGCTTTAGACATTGGGCATTTATGGTGTCTGATTATCTTTCCTTTCCAACACTGCAGAAATGGTAATGGGTTCTTCGTGTTTTCTTTTGTCTCTTTGATGCCTTAATCTCAGACATTCTTAAATTGTGGTGTTCACTTTTTGTTTTGCATTTTTCTCTTCCAAAATTATGAAACCAACAGTTAACCCTCAAAGTTTGCACCTGCCTTAATTTGTGCTGAATCTATTATTAAGATCCTCCTTTAAAGTCATTCTACAGAAACGCAACAGACTGACTACTGTCTGTTTCATTGATGCTACATGGTCTCTCAAAATGTCAATGAGCAGGCAGGAAGTAAATACTTCAGACCAGAGAGCCTTGCCCACTGTATTGGAAACAGACAAAAAATTAACATCTCTTACCTAATACTGAAATAGGCGCTGGTTCTTTTTCATATGCAAATGAGGAACCCTGTTGCAACTTGGAATTGGTCTAAGGCGGTTGATGTTGCATAATTGTCATGGCAAAAAAATCAATTTTGTCCACCAGCAATTACAACCAAACCTGGTCCCAACATCTCCAGCTTCCTCCCAATCCCTGAATGGTTCTCCCAATGCCTGCTATCTTCCCATCTGAACCCTGATCACAGACCTCAAGGCCCAGTGGTTCCTCCTTCAAACACCTACAACACAACCTGATGACTTAGCTCGAACTAAACTGTGCGAACTCCTACTGCAGCTGCATTGACAATGTTGAGTTCTAAGGCCAAAAACCAGGACTGTGTCCTTTCCCAGCATTTGTCAAACTGCTGTTCATGCTACACAGATGAAGAACACCAAAATAATTGCTCAATCCTTATTCCCAAAGGTGTGCTAACATAAATTAATTGTTAGACCATACCATTGCAAGAAAAGATAAGCTTAAAACCAAAATTTTGCATGGCTTTATTCAATTAATGAAAGAGTCATTTCTATTGTTTCTGAATCTTTGATAAAAATGACAGTTTTATCCAGTTGAAGTCAGCAGAGGTTTTATGTTGACCCACTGTAATATTATCAACCTCCACTCTCACCACAGCTTGTCTCCTGCTCAAACATCATCCGTTCTTCTGTTCTTGCTAAACCTGAACATTCTGAAGCCTTCCAGTACTCTGCTGCCTATGTCCTATCTTCCACCAAATCACATTCATTCATCACCTATGTGGTTGCTGACCTGTGCAGCTAAGAAACGGCTCAAGTTAAAAAATTCTCCTCCTTAATTCCAAATCCCTCCATGGCTTCACCCATCTGTATATCTGGTAATCTCATCCCATCCCACAACCCTCTGATATATCTGAGCTCATTCTGTTCTTTTGAGCATCCGCATTTTGACTTGATCCAGTATTGATGGCTGTGTCTTAAGTTTGCTTGGACCTAAACTATGAAATTCACTTCCTAAATCCCCCCGCCTCTGTACCTCACTTCTCCTCCTTTAAGGCTCTCTTTGAAAACTATCTGACCACGTTTTTGGTTATCTGCGCTAATGTTATTGTGTGTGGGTCAGCATTTTTTAATAATACGCGTGTGAAGACCGGCCTTCTGGAGCTCTCTGTGCAAAGGCAGGTCTGGCCCACAGCACCTAGAACAAGGACAGGACAAAGAGGTAGGTCCCAAATTCACTCCAGCATGAACAACGATCTATCTCTGATGCTGTTGGCATCAGTCTGATTTTCATTGGCCATCGAGCTGACTAAGCCAACCAGTAGCCCTCAAGGAGTCCACGTTGTTCTGTATACTGTATGCCGTAGGCTCAAACTATGAAAATTGAGGATAGAGGCTCCAATTTTCTTGCACATCTCTCTGACTCTCTCTCTCCCTCGCCCCAGCCCATGGTCATATTATGAACACTTGACCATCAAGACATTGATTGGCACTTGAACCAAGATCTTCTAGCTCAGACAGGATCGCTGTCCATTGCACCACAAGAGCCACTCAAGAATTCAGGAACTTGTATTACAAAAATGCTATCATGTCCAGGTACGTTATGAGCTGTCAGGCAAACTGAACACCATAAAAATGGCCACTGCAAATCATTTGGCCTTAGGCATTTTGAGACTCTCAGTGCCTAGTCCAAAATTAATTAATTATGTACATTACACAATCATCCAGGGAATTCCTTTGTTTAAGGATGGATCAGCATAAAGGAATTATAGATTTTCAGTCAGCCTGAACCTTTTTAAGCTTGAAAAAAATCAAAACATAATGTGTGGAAGATGGATATGAATAGATCACATCAACCTTCCATTATTTATGATATTTTTCCCCATCCAAACGAGTTTAGCTGAATCTCAAGTTGTCAAATGATAACATCAGGATTCACATTATTCTTTCCTTGGAAAGTGGACTTTGAACTTGTGAATGTCACATGATGTAACCATTTTGACTGCTTTTAAACCGTTCAAAAGCTGCTCACACAGTTCCACCAAAACCAATTGAACCAGCAGAAAGTCACCGAAGCAGTCAGGTAATAAGCATTAATATCTTGAAAAGGGGAGATCCTATCCAAGAGTCCGGTAACAAATAAAACATTTTAAAAGACATTTGGACAGGTACAGGTACAGGGATAGGAAAGGTTTAGAGGGATATGGGCCAAACACTGGCAAATGGGATTAATTCAGTCCGGGAAACCTGGTCAGTATGGAAGAGATGGGCAAAAAGGTCTATTTCTGTGCTGGTTTGACTCTATAACTCTATGCCTCTGTTCCAAGCTTGAGTTCCCCTGAGAACTACTCTCTCGGAAATTCGATCACTAAAACCTCTCATCATACTTTGGCTTTACCAGACCTTCAACTCTGAAGCATTAAATTCATCTAAAAACCTATTGGCTGACCACAAAAGATACTGAGATAATTATAAGCTTTAGCAGTATCTTACCTTCATTTGTATCTAATCTTTGCATGCATAAGAGTGTGTAGAGATGAGTGAATGAAACATGGCATGATTTTTGGAGTAAGTGGAATGAAAATAAATAACTTAAAAAAAACTTGCAGCTAGAGTTATTTCATTGGGACAGGTAACTCTGAAGGTAAGAAAAAATATACCCCTTGCATGCAAACACACATCACGGACAGCAAAATGGAACACATAAATTCTGGCTGTGATAGCACTATATAAATGCAAATTGTAGTTGTTGAACCGGAGTCTGTGGTACTACATTCAAATGTTACAAACATTCGGATAATTTTCATGGTTAGGTATCATGCTGTTCCTAAATGTTTTAAGGCATGCAGTCGAATTAACATATAAATGAGAGTAAAAGGAAAATGTTACCAGCTTAGAGTTACCAAAAACATAATACTACATATGCAGGAAAATCGTAAACAAAAACAGCTGGATGTGTTCAGCAGATCAGGCAGTTGATTGAAGTCTTAAATCCTTCCTGAGGATTGTTAGATATTTGGATGAACAGCATTCAAGAAGAAAGGAAAGTATGTAACTGATGTGTACAGAACATGAGATGGTTAACTGGCAAGAGTGATATTGCGGAAGTCAAAAATTGGCATAACACAGCACCGATGGATATTTGAGACCCAGGAAGTGTGTGAAGAGGTGAAGGAAAATGAGATTGTAACATGAAAAACCAGTGTTACAAATAGCTCCAGTGGCCCAGAAAGAAACAAAATGGGTCAACCCTGAGGGTGCTGCCACTCCACACAGTTGTGCTCTGACAAGAGGTGGTACTTTCCATCCCAAGTACCAATGTTTTCCCTTCCCAAATCAACAGAAAATCCAGTACGTACATTTCACATTGCTAGGTTCCTACAGTTGTAGCTGAGGTCTAAAACTGTTAAATTCATTGTTAAATCTTAACGAGCTACAAAGTGCTTCATGGAAACACTGTTCCTTAGAGTAACCTATGCTTTCAAAACCGTGGTGTCTCTGCGCTGCAAATTTGACTGTCAACTTCTGTCAGAAGATCAGACCGTCAGAGAGTAATCTAGCCTGTTAAAGGAAGTGCAGTAATACAGATCATTACATTAAAACATCTATTGAAATGTTGTCAGATTATGTAAAGATTTTGTTAGATAATTTAGTATCATCTCTTTTAAAC